GAGAGTTAGCTCCAGTCTCCTAAAGCTTTCATCCTTGCCTTTCTACAGATTTTCTAGGCTTTTGGTAGATGTTTCCATTGGCAGGTAAGGATTCTAAGAAAGGATGGCAATAAAACAGAATACCTACTGAAACCAGCAAAATTCACACTGGTGTAATACCGAAAAATAATTTATTATCTTTTAATAATTTCTTTTACTGAAAAAAGCCTTCTATTGTGATATAAACTAAAATATTACACAACAAATTGTTTTAGCTTATTGGCAAATGGACATTTTTCCTCTGCCAATTGCACTAGCATCAGACGCGCCATTTGATGCCTGAGGAAATTCTTAGAAGCTATTCTCACTACCCAAATACCTGCTATTATTAAGACCCAGAGTATAAAATACAAGAGAAAGTACACTACAGCAAACAAGGTTGCTGTCAATGTCATGAAAAAATCATAACATGTTTCAATCTTAAAAATTATCCTCAAATTGACTGAGACACTTGAGGCATCTAGATGGCTTAGCAGATTTCTACTCAGTTTAGTAGGACTGCATTGTCCCTAAAAGGAATCTCTCTGCTCAGCTGCCTTTTCAGGATCCTCTTAGAATCAAAATTAAGTACAAACTGAGGAAATCACCTGAGTATCTGTAGATGAGCAAGCTACTTTTGCAAACACATACTAAGTATTACAATGTATACTCTTTAAAAAAACCACACAAATAAAATAATGAAAATCTGCATACCAGGAAGAGAGTGTTTTCCTTGATGTCAAAAGAAACTGAGTGCAGCAGGTTAGCAGTACAAAGGGGAGACAGCACATGGAGTTGGTTTCTTCAGCTTAGGGACAGAATTTTACTTCTTTATCTACCGGTGGCCACATAATTCTCTGTATTTCCCTCCTTCGCTATGTCAGCATGGCACGTTCCAGTGCCACATCTGTTGAAGCAGCCACCATTTCCACACGCTCTTACTCCCCTACGTACCCAGACCACTCTCGGTGGGGAATGACAGGTCAGCCTACATCACAGCCGCTCAGCTTCTCACAGCCTCATGCGCTCACATCCTCAGGCACCGTTTTGCATGCCATGGCAGCACACGTGCAACAAACCAGCTCCATGACTCTCCGTAAGTCACATGCGGGGTTTCACAGATCCATACAAACTGGGATCAGGGACACTGGAGGGATTCCAGTGAAGAGGAAAAATTCCAGCCACATATCCAAACTATGTCAGGTGTACAGCATAATCAAGTCACACGCTAGCATATCCAGGAAGCCGACAGGAACTGGAACGGCAGAGCACAGAAGTAAAACAGCATTCAAAGACTTGGGGTGACTCAGGGCAGACATAGTGACACTTCCATGTCAGAACAGCAGTTTCTGAACAAGGAAATGATCGAGTCTACTTGTGAGGGATTGTGATGGCATAAGGCTGATTTCTCCTTTGCTTGCATGGACTTTGAAGATTCACTTTCTTAATGCATGCTAAAAAAGATGCTGTTTAAAAGCTACTTGACAGAACTAGTCGTTATATGAACAAGTACAATTAATTTGCTCAACCTGGAGAAAATAAGGTATATGACAGCATAGAAAAGTCACATCTGCAATTTCATTTTTCCTTATGGTAACTGCCTCTGAGACACATCTCATCCATAGCTATCAGACCATAAAACTAGGCTATAAAGTTAAAATTTTCACTTTAAAAAGCCACAAAACCTTGTGCTAGGAATATGAACCATGACCCCTTTAGTTATTTAGGAGATCTAGGCATTTTCAACATTATTGCAAGGGGCCATTAGAAGGACTGAATCCATAGCCTTTACTGATTTAAGAGTCATCCAACTGTACCTATCTAAGTGTTACTTGAGTGAACTACTGTTGCAAGACTATGACTTTCTGAGTTTTACATTGATATTAGAAGGCAGCCAGGAAAACTAAACGTTTGATCCAGCATCTCAGTTTAAAGCCTAAGGTCTCATTGACTTCAATTAAGTTTCTTTTGTGTCTATCTCCCGTTTGCCTCACTAACTTTTCTTGTTGGCTCTGGGTATAATAGTGAGAGCCGATCACAGGCAAGCGAGCAACCAAACACTCACCGAGAAGCAGCTACAAAAGTGATTAAACAGTTTTTCTCTGGTTTATGATGGCTTTTTTTCCTTTTTGAATTTTTTCCCTAGACATATATAGGAATACTTACATATATATTTTGCAATTTTTGACTTTCTGCAAAAATAGCACAGCAATCAAAATCCTAAATGCTTTAGAGTCATCCATAGCCACATTTCCTAGGTAGAAAATGGACGATGTGATAGTTAGTACTGCAGTTCCAGTGAATTTACTATTGCATACTTTATTTGTCTTTAAAAAAATCCCTTTTACCTGTTTCTGCTTGTTTTAAAATGTTTGACCCTGCTTTTATTCCACATAGAACTACCTCAAAGCAGAATCCACGCAATTTGAGAAGTTCTCCTTGGGGGAAGCTCAATATTAACATAGGAGGACCCGCTGTTTTCCTGTTTACAGTATGCTTTGGCTCTGCATATAGTCTTAAAAAAAATGCACTGCTGCAGTACTATGAGATTATCACCACTAGCCATCAGCTCATTCTAATACAACCACAGGCAACGTCTCTGCCACCAAAGATACTTCAAAGATTGATGGCTTGAACTCGCCTTGAAGTGTTACAGAAAATGACTAACATACTAATGAACATCACAAAGTGTTATTGTTAACACTGGGAAAACCATTCTAGCTCAAATTCTCAAAGGTACTTAGAGAATTTTACTGTTAACTTCAAAAGAGACAGGATTTCAACCTTAATTTTTTTTCTCCTGACTCTTAGAAACCGCCTTACCGTTTCTAGTTAGTTTATGCTATAATCCCCCTAAAATCATGAATTTATACTCGCACAAAACTTTTCATCAAGGGGTAGAGAGCCAGATAGACAAAGTAGCCCTACTGCCCTTCTGAAATCCCATGGAGCCCAAAGATTACATTAGTTTCCAAATTAATCAGGCAGTAACGCTTCCCCCGTATGTCTATTTGTCCCTGAAAAGCAGCTTTCTGAATTACCTTCCCCTCATTTTACTAAAATTCATATTTTCAAAACATACCAAGTTTATTTTTCTCTAAACATTGCTCTCAAACACAGCATTTTCTAAAATGACTGTGACACCTTAAGAAAGACCTTATTATTTTTAACCATGTTTCTATTTTAGAACAAAAAAATTTCTGAAACAAACCCTATTGTTCTAAGATGCAAAGGTAGTTATTTTGATACGAAGTCTTAAACTTTTCTGCATATTGAATGTTACGTAGTTTCAAAACTCTGGTTTGCACACGAAGTATACAATAAAAGTACAATATAAATAAAATAGTTTATTACAAGTATTTAAAAGAGCTCTACAATACACTTTCAAAACATTTTATACAGTATTCTGTCTTTCAATATGAAACAATTCATATAAAGAGAAAAAATCTCAAGATATAACTATAGTCATTATTAACATACTGAATTCGTCTGTCATACAAAAATCATAGTAACTACAGACTGTTTCTAAGTATCTTTCCTGGTTTTACTCTCTCTGAAAATGGGAAAGAATAACAAGTATGAAAATAAAATAAAAACTCCCTTTTCACCCTTCACGTCATTTATACCAAATACTACAAAGTTCATGCCACAGCAAAACCTAGATAAATCACTTCAAAAATTTAAAAAAAAATATCAAAAACATTTTACTTAAATAAATATGGATCTATTTAAATAGTGAAAAGAATGCCTTGTATCTTACAGATATGTTAATGTAGAAATAGGATTAAAAACTTCAGGTTTCAACTATTCAGAAGTTACATAACAAAGGAAAATATCCTTGGTTTTGCGGAGGAAAAAAGAAACAAACTTCATTCTTGTTCATAATGAATAAAGCTCCACTGCACTTACACTTTTTGCCAGCCCCACAGGCACAATGGGCAAAGCTCTCTACTTACCAAAAGTATAACTACAGATTCTATTAATACAAAATCAGAATTACTTAATTTGAGCTAAAAGTAATTTTCAGTCTCGTTATATTTAATGTAACGACAACATGATTTTCCCGACAAAATTGCTCATCTGAGTTATTATCGCATCTTTGAGAACATTTCTTTTCCTGGTGCAATATGTACAATAGAAGGAAAGGAGACTGGAACAGATAGTAAGCCCGTTTGTAATATTAATGATAATCTATTGTCCTCTTTTCTTGCAGAAAAATAGTTCAGTATTGTATGAATTGGCCAAAAAAGCTGGAAAAGGCAAGGGATATACAAAGAAATGTTGATAATTAAGTAGTGAAATGGATTCACTGATTACAAACCCTGCTATTTTAGCATTGTCTACTTATATTTTGTCATAAAAAGGGAAAATATCTAATTCCTCATCTCCAAGCACATTACAGTTACCTTTTTTCTATTAACTGTTCTATAACGTCACATCAACATTTTTTTCTCATTAAACTTTTTCCCCTTTTTCTACTTTCTTCTTCTTTGCATCTTTTATCTAAAAATAACTTTTTTGTTTAAAGTATGAAATAAATACAGCAAGCGTCCTTTCCTTGCAACATATAGGGAGCCAGAAGAAAGTAAAAGGACCTTTTTTCTGTATTCTGGAAATTACCTCTTTATTTTTCTAATTGTTATCGTTGGACAGCATGATGTCACAAAATACTATGTGGGAAAAGGTACAACTTTTAAAATACCTGATTCACAGAGCACTGCAGATTGCTGCAACACTATTAAGACAGTAAGAATGTGTATTTATAAATTAATTTAGGAAAAGAAATGCAAAGTGGCTTTTGTCGCATGTTTGTTTTAAACATCTTCTCACATTCATCACAAATTACATCAAGTAGACAGTTCTGAAGACAGTTCACCAGGTCATCTCCACAACAGAAAAAGATAATCCTCTTCAGTCAATTGTTCAGTCTAACATAAGCCTTTTAATAATAATAATATATTAAAATTTTTGGCTGCATAATTTCATAGGGCAGTATCCAGTTTTGATAAAAGCAATATATTCTCGGGTTGTCGCTCAGTGGAACTCAGCTTCAAGCTCTCTTTAAAGTGAATAAGGTGATGTCTTTTCAAATGTGGGGCCTGTCTGAAATTTTTACCACAAACTAAACATTCAAACGGCTTCTGTCCAGCATGCATTAGGTAATGTCTTTCAAGCTTAGAAGGTGACTTAAAAGTTTTAAAGCAGATACTGCATTGATACAGTTTGTTAACAACTCCACTTTTTTCAGTACCTTCAGAAAAATCATGCCAATAGCTGTAACAGCTTTGCTCTGTTTCCAGCAATTTACTACACAAATACGGCTGTGTGTTTCTACTGCTGGTGTCAAGAACAAAGTCCCCTGACTCAATTTCAACTTTGATTTCAGCTGCTTGGTTTGACTGAATCAGCTCAAGTTCTTGAAAGCCAGATGCCTGTGAAGGCATTTGAGAATAACCCGAATAACCCACAGGCTGAGAAGACTTAAATTCAATGTGATCTCCCTGATGGTTGAAAAGTTTGTTCAGGTTTTCAAATTCTACCTGGCAAACAGGGCTTTTACAGGGTCTCTTTTCAGTATGGGTGAGCTGATGTCTTTTTAAGTGAGCTGACTGTCTAAATGTCTTCCCACAAACATTACAGCCAAAGGGCTTCTGTCCCGTGTGTATAAGATAGTGTCTTTGAAGTTTGGATGAAGAGGGAAAGATTTTTTCACATCTGTCACATTTACACACTTTGTGTCTGCTATGTATATTTTTAGCAGAAGCTGAAAAAGCGCAGTGAAGTACTTCTGGATTGTCAAAGAAACCATCATCTGATGAACCATAAAAAGCATCATCTTTATTATGCAGTGAATCACCAGTTTTTAACATGCTTTCACCAGTAAGCATACCTTTTAAATTAATTCCAAAGTCGTGAGGTTGCGGGTGCTCTTGACAAGGTAATGGCACAGCAAACTTTCTTTTCATCCGATTACTAAGTGCCTTGTGCATGTCAAGCTTGCTATGGCAATCCTTGAAAGGTTTAGTGGGAGCATGCTGATCAGAACGCTGATCTCTAGCTGCAACCAGGTCAGGACTTTTAAATTTTATTTTTTTTCTGTCAGTCAGAGAAAAATCTGTTGCCTTTCCTCCAGTACGCTTCAGCTTCATCAGGATCTTATTTTTCATGCTGACTGTGTGGCTGCATGCTGTTGTGCCATTATTTGAAGTTTTGCCATCTCTCAGATAACAACGTTTGTGCAACTTTAGAGCCTGCTCCGTTTCAAAACACTGCTCACATGCTGGGCACTGAAAAGGTACAATATAAATTGAGTGAGCATCACGTGGGTCATTCTCCTGTGACTCGTCAGTGTCAGCATTCTCAAAACTATCCCTCTTTCCTTCCAACAGGTTCTGTGGTCTGGGATATTTGAGAGTCTTTGCTTTGTATAAAATACTGGGGAAAGTCTTATTTCTGGCATGGAGCTGTTTGTGCTTCATGAGTTTGCTCTGTATTTTAAACCCCTTCTGACAAAAGCAGCACTGAAAAGGCCTTTCTTCTGTGTGTGTGAGCTGATGGATTTTCAAGTGTGTTGACTGTCTGAAAGATTTACCGCATGAAGAACACTTAAAAGGTTTCTGGCCAGTGTGAATAAGGAAGTGTCTTTCTAGCTTAGATCTTGATGGAAATGTCTTGTTACACGATTCACAAGTGTGAGTTTTCTTTCTCCTTCTGGCAGCGTGTAGATGATCTGCCTTCAGGCACTGATGCAGCATCCACCTCTCTTCAGTTGTAAAAGATTTCCAGCACACAGAACATCGAAATATGCCGTAAGTGACCCTGTCTTGCTCAAAATTCATAGAGTTTTCTGCTTGCTTGCTATCATTCTGGTAATTTTCGTTATGAAGCTGCTGATGCTTTAAGAAAGTAATTAAGTTTTTGAAGTTCCTATGACAAACAATACACTTAAAAGGCAGATTATGGGTTAACTGATGCCTCTCCAGGTGGACTAGCTGCCTAAATGTTTTATGGCATACGTGACATTCAAATGGCTTTTGACCAGTATGTATCAGATAATGCCTAGCTAATTTTGATGGAGTTTCAAACTGCTTATAGCAAATGTCACAAATATATGGCTTTTTCTTGGGTATCCTGTCAGCTGTTACACACTGCTGAACTTTTAACATTTTTAAAAAGCAATTACACCTTGCCTGTTCGTTTCTTCAGATAGGTATTTCAAGTGAAATCACCAGTTGCACGCTAAGATGGAAGGCTGTAGAAGCAGCAAATTTTCTTCAGAGATATTCTTAAATCCCACAGGTCCCTAAAATAAGAAAGAGAGGATTATTTTAGCCTATATTAATACATAATTGCCTAAAATTATCTCGTTTTCTACAGAGACCAAAAGCATCTTGATTAGAATACTCCTGATTTAACTTAGGTTAAAATGCTTTCCTCATAACAGAGTAATCACTCATTATGCTACGTGATACAGAAAAACTACGCTACTTTCCAGAAGAAACAAACATGTTTAAGTCATCTGTGCTGTAACACAGATACTGTTTAGTCCTGGATATTACTTCCAAACAACATACAGGTCAGCTACATTATGATATTTAGGTTATATACAAATAAAGCATGTTCTAAAAAAAAAAAAAAAAAAAAGCACCACCAAAAAACCCACCCCCCAAAACTCA